TAATTTTAAAATGTGGACCTTTTAAACATGAAAAACTTTCGTAGGACGTATTTTCTTGTAAAGTTCATATTTACTGAGTTATCGCACTTTGACGCACTAATGAGCAACCCTGTATATTAGTGAGAGCGAGAGACAGGCAGTGACTTGTTTTTTGCCGCGTTATGCATGTAAATCGTTTTAGAATGAAAAAACAAAAACGCAAAGCTTTTTCACTAAATGAAAAGTACGAGATTATTAACAAAATAAAAAGTGGAGTAAAGCAGAGTGACGTTTGTAAGGAATTAGCACTTGGAAAGTCTACTGTTGCAACAATATGGAAAAACAGAGAAAACATTTTGTCAGCGTATGACAAAACAAATGTTAGATGTAGGAAGTTAAACTTATCTGCACATGAAAAGGTTGACACGGGACTTATTAAGTGGTTTACTCAAAAAAGACAAGAAAACGTTCCCATAAGTGGCAATGCCGAAAAAACCTTTGCAAATTGCTTTAAGCATGGGGATGTGTAAGAAAAGAAAATGATTATGAACTAGACGATGAAATTCCACTTAACGAATGGTTAAAAAACTATAAAGACTCTGACTACGAGTATTACACAGACGAAGATGTCCCAATGTTGTCGAAGAACAAGTTAAAACCAAATTGAGTGATTTCAATTGCTTCGAATATGTGAGCATTTAAATGGCATTCTTACAAGAGAAATGTTGACCGATGAGCAAATTATAGACTCCGTAACCTCATCTACAACTTTAAGCGTTAATGAAAAAGATGACAATTTAGGTGAAACGTATTCTACTGTAGAAACTAATGCTGTTCCAACCATTTCTGAAATGACAAAAAAAGTGTGAGAATCTCGGAATTTTCTACAATCACGCCAAGTTTCTAATCATATCTGGGAGTCCTTTTGTGATCTTGAAAACTACATAAATAACATCAATTTTTGCAGCAGAAATGTACAAACAAAAATTACAGACTTTATGAAGTAGATTTCAAATTGAATGTTGTTTATCTTTTTGTGTTCTTTTTAGTCATACTTACTAACTTCTACTACTCTATGTAAAAATAAGGAAATAAAATACACCACGTGTTTTTGTATTATTATTCGCTTATAGCGAACTTCGGATATGACGAACCAGTTTTAGTTCATTTTTCAAGTTTGTTATATCCGGACTCAACTGTATTTATGCAAATATTTAAAAAATAATTAGCATTTATTGCTAGGTAGCAATAGAAACGGTTTAAAAATATGTATGATTTAACGTCTGAATAGTTAGGTACTTCCCGATCAATTGTATTGTATAAATCATGATACTTTATGTTTTTTTCCGCGAGAAGCTTTTTGTGCAAAAATTAGGGACTAAAATAGAAATATTTTTCCTACAACTGCACTTTGATTTAATAGTTGTTCAAATGAATGTTTTTAATTACGCCTTAGTAACATTTTAATCATTTCAGGAGATCCCACATAGTCAACCATCTAACGCTTCAGAATTCATGGCCGTTCGAACAAAAAAATGCTGTATTTTTCAAACTTTCCTGTTCTTTAGACCTAAAGAAAGAAACTAATTCGATATAGTTAAACAAATGTTGAGTAAATAAATGTTTGCGATAGTTTAGTGTCGAAACATAATCTTGGCCGGCATCTCTTAAAGTCGTCTTTAGTATTTCAAACTATGTTTTATATCAATTCATAAAAGGTTTATCAAATAGTTGATACTGACATCCCTGACGGATGAAGGTTTTGTGAATAGTAATATAACGGTCCCATTCACGGCCTCGCCGTTAGGGCAAACATTTTAGCTTTATTTCACGCGCAAAGGGTCACTTCGAGGATGAAGTTAAATCGAGCGTAATAGAATAAGATATGGCCTTAATAACATTTCTCCTGCAAATATGAGTAATATTCTATCAGCAAACGGATCTCTTGCAAAATGCGTACATTAATTTTCGCTGATAATAGATAGTGTCAGCTTCAGACGTTTTAATGGAGCATAAACATAAACATCCCGTTATCATAAAGGATGCCAACTAAGGCTTCTCATAGCTCCATTTTTAGTTCACACCAAGTCAGTATTTAGATTGTTCAATAATTATAAACAATCTTACTATTTCTCCCGGAAGGCCTGGAGATCCAGAGGGACCATCCTCGCCAGGCATGCCATCGTGGCCTGGAAATCCCGTCTCACCAGTTGCTCCGGGCAGGCCGCGGTCTCCTTTGTCCCCAGGAAGCCCAGGCAGCCCGATCAATCCCTGCTCTCCTTTCGCTCCAGATGGACCTGCACAAATGGGAAGCATATTGATTTTTTCCTCACAACTGTTTTGATACAAGGAAATGCTCATTCGAACCTGTTAAGCCTCTTTCTCCATCTCTCCCGGGTTGACCGCGTCGCCCTTGATGGCCTAGAGGTCCTGGAATGCCGGCAGTCCCTCGAGGGCCCTAAAACAGTCGTCCGATAGTACAAGAACAAAATAGTCAACACCCCACGTCTCTCCCTTATTGAGAATTGAATCAAAAATCAGTCTTCACTACCAACTCAGATGTTTCACTCAGTAAATCGCCGTTACCGTTTCTCCAATGTCTCCAGGCTCGCCCTTTTGACCATCGGGTCCTGTGAGTCCTTGAGGTCCTGGAAGCCCTGTGAGTCCCCTGGGCCCCTCGATACCTCTCATTGATACCTTGAACATATTTTCAAAAAGCTGCTGTTACAATCGTACCGAAACTCAGGAGCTGTACTATTACCATGTGCTGCGACAGCATCTGTCTAAATGCTTCCACTCCTTGATCGGGTCCTTTTTCAGTGCCATGTTGGTTTATCTGATGGAATAGGAAATTAATTATAATGGACAGTAAACTGTTTTTATATTGTATTATAATTTGAATTTTGACAATTAACCTTGAGGGAGACATATCCGATGTAATAAATAGGGCCTACTACTATACTATACTATTTTAACAGCCCAAAGAGTAGAATAAATAGCTGGCGCAAGAAAGTGACACCTATCCTACTTTTGAAGTGATAACGTTCTATCGGAGGGTGAACCGATTTTTCTCGGTCACTCCGGCCTCTTCCAACAACTCCTACAATAGCACATATGCACTTTGAATTCGACATTTTTCTCTTAGTGCG